TTCTGACTTGCAAGAGTCTGTTACTAGAGCTTTCGAAAAAAAGGAAAAAGAGCTGTTTTCTTGGCCTGATCTGCCTTGAGGGCTGACAGCCAGGAATTGGGTTCACGGTGAAAGGTGCTCCTCTGCTCTGTTGTGACCCACCAGCCCGCGCTTTCGTGGACTGCCTTGGCCCCTGCTTCTGTCGGGCTGAGAGACCCAGCCGTGCAGCCTCTTTCCAGCAACAGGCGAGCTGCGCCTGCCCAGAGCCCCTCGGTACCTTCTGCAGCAGCAGCACAATGATGGGGATCAAGTTGGCGCGCTCCTGTTCCAAGGCAAAGAGGGTCCGGGGCGTGCGGATGAAGATCTTGGTGTGGCCGTAGGCAACGTCGTCTTGGAAGCCGTGCTGCTCCATCAGGGCCTGGGTGGCTGCGCCATCAGTGGCCATGAGATGGTTGGGCCACGTGTATTCACAGGTCATCTTGTACCTGGGCCAGGAAGAAGGTTTGGATGGGTGCCCTGCCCTGGCTGGAGGCGAGAGGCCCCTCAGAGGACCAGCTGAGGCTCTAGTGCCGCATCGCAGCCAAATCCCATTTCTCCCCCCACTGTTGGCACCAAAGGTCCACTGCTTGGGTTGATTGGTCTTATGCCCCCTTGACAACTCATGTCGCCGGTTGAAGACCGTGTGATTTGCATGTTCCTCCTTCAGCATTCTCCAAAATAGCCAAACCAGCTATGAAAGGGATGCTTGCCGGGGTTCTTCAACCTGGCGCCCACCAGATTTGTTGGCTATATCTGGCCCCCTCCTCCCTCCTGCTCGGGCCTAACGGCCTGCAGGCCCAGAAGGCACCAGAGGCTGTCTTAGGGAGCTGCCTGGGCTGTTCTGCCCCGGGACCGTGGAAAGACCTCGCAGCAGGCCTACCGGAGCAAGAAGCGATCATAGGGCTGCCTGTAGGCGAAGCCAGCTCTTCGGACCCGCACGTTCTCCAGCAAGCCCAAATACGACACTTGGTGACGGCAGCGCTCCTCATCAAAAACCAGTGGCGA